CCTTCCCCCCCCGCCCCGCCGGCCTTCCTCCGCCAGCAGAGTCCGGCGTCTTCTGCTCGGCCAGCCTGTCGGTCCCGGGAATCCGCTGCCTCCTGGAATGGAGCCGGACGGGGCTGTTGGTCAGCTCTGCAGCGGCCCCTCCCCGCAGCAGCTGCGCGTCAGGCAGCCCTGTTCCCCCCCCCGCCGCCAGCTGTTTCACCCGGCAGGGACCCTCCTGCACATCTGCAGCTGCCTTCCGCCCTCGCGAGCGCCGCAGCAGCAACTGACTCTATCTACATTTTATAGATGTGTCAAACTATTATTTAAATCAGGAAGACTGTATACGGTATATAGGATTTATTTATATCAGGGGTTCTTGGTCACTTTTAAGACTTGTGGTAACTTGTTGGTAACTTTTAAGACTTGTGGACTTCAACTCCCAGAATTCCCCAGCCAGCCATGCTGGCTGGGGGATTCTGGGAGTTGAAGTCCACAAGTCTTACAGTTCCCAAGGTTGGAGACACACACACACACACACACACACACACACACACACACATCCTCATTTATATCGTTCCATCTTTTTAAGAGTGTAAGCCGCGCGGAGTTAGATGGGCAACCAATACATTTTAAAAATAAATATGAATAAATATCAAACTTGGACAATATCAAAAATAAATATGAATAAATATCAAACTTGGATGGAGGGGGTCCCGTTGAGTCCTTGTGGCCCAAAGTCCTTGGCTTAGGTTGTTAAAAACTATGTTGGCCACTTCCCCTCCCCCACCTTTCCAGGGATGGAGTCCTTTACCCTTTTCTGCCGAGAAACTGTAGATGGGAAGGACCCTTGAGGCCATCCAGTCCAACTCCCCTGCTCAGTGCGAGCATCCTAATCCAAGTCCCCTGACAGATGGTTGTCCAGCCTCCCTTTGACCCAGCAGGGCTCCGGAAGGGGTTCTCAAGAAGAGACTGGACAGCCACTGTCTTGGAATGGTATAGGTGGGGTCTCCTGCTTGAGCACAGGATTGGGCTAGATGACCTCCAGGGTCCCTTCCAGCTCTGTTATTCTCTTATTTGTCTGAACTGGCTTGAGAAGAAGGGGGCTGGACTAGATGACCTCCAGGGTCCCTTCCAGCTCTGTTATTCTCTTATTTGTCTGAACCGGCTTGAGAAGAAGGGGGCTGGACTAGATGACCTCCAGGGTCCCTTCCAGCTCTGTTATTCTCTTATTTGTCTGAACCGGCTTGAGAAGAAGGGGGCTGGACTAGATGACCTCCAAGGTCCCTTCCAGCTCTGTTATTCTGTTATTTGCCTGAACTGGCTTGAGAAGAAGGGGGCTGGACTAGATGACCTCCAGGGTCCCTTCCAGCTCTGTTATTTGCCTGAACTGGCTTGAGAAGAAGGGGGCTGGACTAGATGACCTCCAGGGTCCCTTCCAGCTCTGTTATTTGTCTGAACTGGCTTGAGAAGAAGGGGGCTGGACTAGATGACCCTCAGGGTCCCTTCCAGCTCTGTTATTTGTCTGAACTGGCTTGAGAAGAAGGGGTCTGGACTAGAAGACCCTCAGGGTCCCTTCCAGCTCTGTTATTCTGTTACTCTTGCCCTTGGAAGGATCTTTCTAACATTCAACACCCAACACCCACCCTACTGTGATTTAAACCCAGGATTCCTTGAACTAGGTCTTGCCTTGGTTCTGCGTGAAGCCGCTCTGGGTGTCTGAAAAGGACCACCAGACTCCCCACCCCTTCTTGGGCTGCTCCTCCCCATTCTGACCCCATTACGTCCCACTCCTCTCAATCGCCCCGGTGGTCTTCCTTGGGACAGCCTCCCCCCCCCTCGGTCTGGACCTCCTTCCTGTGTGGGGCTGAGAACGGGATCCGGCCTGGAGGCGATCCTTCCAGGGATCCGTCTCCAAGCCGCTTGGCCTCCTCCGCAGACTCGGCGCTGCTAGTGACCCTCGTTCAGCTGCTGCTCAGCCGCAGTTCCCCCTTTTCGGTTCTCTGACGCTGGGATCCAAAAAGTCAATGCCGGCAATCCTGCAGGCCTTATCCCCGTCACTCAGCCCAGATTGACAGCCGTCAATCATTCCGGCCGTTAAGCAGGTCCTTGTGCGACCACATCCCCTTAAGTGAATGTGCAGCTGTTAAGCGAACCCGCTGTACTCCAGGGGCTGTTTTTGCTGGAAAATGAAAATAAATTGCAGTCAGGTGATCACAGGACAACTGCAAAGGGCCATAAGTCCAGGCGGGTTGCTGGGCGCCCCAAATGTGGTCACGTGACCTGGGAGGGCAGCTGTCAGAACCCCAACTCCAGCTGCAAAAAAATCTCTTTTGGGGGTCCTTCTTAACTTTGAGCAGTCCCTAAGCAGCCAGTCCTCAGGGAAGGACGACCTGTACAGCAGCAGCAATAGAGACACACACACACAATCTGGAGGGCGCTTCAATTGAACCCTTGCAGCCACCCGCTTAGCAAAAAAGACCCCTCCCCAATTTTCCCCGGGAGTTCAGAAAGGGGCAGTGGCTGCTCATCCCTCCCTCCCTCCCTCTCCTTCCTTCCTTCCCTCCCTCCCTCCCACCCTCCATCCCTCCTTCCCATCTTCCTTCCTTCCTTCTTTCCTTCTTCCCTCCCTCCCTCCCCCTTCCTTCCATTCATTCCTTCGCTGTCTGTCCACCTCTTTTCTAAGCAACTCTGGGTTGTTTACAGCATTAAATGCATCAAAAGCACAGAAGATAAATATTTCTAAAACAATAAATATGGATTTTTTTTAGATCTTTTGCATGCCTTGTGAGCATAAGTCATGGTGTTGTTGTTGTTTTTTTAAAAAAAGGGTGCAGTTTCCGCTGCATACCGAGGGCCCCTGGCTTGACCTTTCTGACCTTCCCCCCCCTTGATGGTCATCCAGAATCAAGCTGGACTCAA